TTTTATTGGATAATTAATAAAATTAATATCAACTTTTAATTTTATTATATGTATTAATAATAAAAATATATAATAAATACATTTTTATCATGTATATTCATACTATACTTTTTAAACTTCTGTAAACATTCATTTCACTTCATAATGAAGAGGAGTTTTTGGAAGGCTCTTGGTAGCCCTTTTGCTACACTCTTAGATATTAAGATAAGAGAAGCAACAAGGGATTTATTAATATTAAAGTATTAAAAATTTTAACTTTTTTTGAATTGAGCTTTGTTTTTTTTTTTTAATTATTTTTATTTATTAGTTGATGTTTTCATGTTCACAATTATGATTTTAAAATTTAATATTTAATATTTTTGTTATAAATTAATTTAATCGATTAAAATTTCAATATAACTAAATCAATTTAATATAAATTTTTATGGATTTTATGAATGAGTAAGTAATGCATCATTTGTAGTTAGCTTCTCGTTTGTAGAGAGTGGGGTTGCTCCCATGAGTTGACGTCAAGTATAGCCAATATTTTACCTCAGAGTATTTTTATGATGTTTATTTATTTTTTGTATTAACCTTTTGATATCCAGTACTTACATTAAATCTTAATTAATTTGAAATCGAGTTGCATCGGGTCTTATTAGGGGAAAGTTCTCCTAATGCTTGTTTTTTTATTTATAAGACTTGAACTCGAGATCTTACTTGAAAGGAATTGAACTCCTTCCACTCAAACCAACAAGTCATTAGTATTTTTTATAATGTTTATGCTTTTAAGATTATTATAGACGTTATACTTTTAAAATTATTATTTCATTGCGATGCCACTCGAGGTGCTACCATCCCAACTATCCACTCTTACCTCTCTTCTTCCCCTTTATTAGAAAAATATTACTATTTTTTTAATACTTTTTAATACTTAATCACCATTAAAATTGATTTGAGAACATAATTAAGATTGATGAGAGATTTTATGTAATCACTGTTAATAATTTATATTATGAATTAAATAAAAACCAATGATAGACCACGTGATTTGTACAGTATTAATATAATAATAAGTGAACTTAATTTCTACATAAATTAAGGAACTTCACATAACATAATGCAACTGTTATGTATTTAAATTTATATAAACATATATTGGATTAATAGTTGAAGATAAGTTTGATATAATTTGAGAAAGTACATTTAATAAGATAGGAAATCTCGTAGGCACATGAATAGTAAACATCTTGAAAGTATAATAATTTAAAATTTATATTGATTGGTTATAATAAAATTGGATGTCTTAATACCTCATATCTTGGTAATTTTATTTTAAATTATTATTTTCTTTTAATTAGTTTTAGTTAGAAATCCTTCCTTTTTAATTGTTCAACTAATTCTAACAATTAGTTATTTCCAGCAGTTAGTGACAATCTCCATGATAATGATACTTTGTTCATCACTTAATTACTAGAGCAACTAGTGCACTTGCTAGTAATTTTTGCACATTGAATTTTTGGCATTGTTGCTCAAAATTGTTGAATTTAATTAATATTAAAACTAATTAATTCTAAATCTAATTTGAGCATTTTTCCTGTCTTTTATTTTCTTTACTTTGATTTTTATCCTTTATTTTTGTTTTTACAGACTTAATTATAAATTAAATTATCATAAATACTGATATGAATTATCAATATCTTATTTCTTAGTTAAACACAAGTTGAAGCAATAAGGGAACCTGAACTCGATTACGATGAACTCTATCAAATTCAAGCTGTCATTTGAAAGGATTAAATTAAAGAGAGCTATAATAAAATAATTTAATATCACTTATTAATGATGTGAATGAAAATATTTTAGGATCAATTAGTATTTTAAACTATTTAATAAGCATTTTAATTTTTCTTATGATTTTTATATCCAATAATGCAATTCTTATCACAACACAGATAATCATTCACTTAACCTGCTTGTAGAAAAAATATAGAGTGAGTTACTTAATGAAATTAAAAAAAAAAAAAAAAAAGTCAACAAATTAGACAAACACTTTAACCTTCAAAGTTGAAGGATAACTTGGAAAAATAAAAAGCGTAGTTGCAGAGACAAAGCAAGTGGATGTCCTTAGGGAATAAGAGAAGAAAGCCCCGGTGTCATTTAAGGGGTTT